CGCACACCTTTTTACAGTAATAAGTTACAGTAGATCAAAAGTGACATGTTTTGACCATTTTTAGGCTATTTTGGACCAAAATGGCTACTTTAACTCCATATTTCTCCAAATTTCTACAGTAAAAGTTTCTTGTCTTTGGTACAGTGTAGAGGGCAATCATGAGGTCGTGAATCCAGTGAAATTAGTCGCACACCTTTTTACAGTAAAAAGTTACAGTAGATCAAAAGTGACATGTTTTGACCATTTTTAGGCTATTTTGGACCAAAATGGCTACTTTGAATCAATATTTCTCAATATTTCTACAGTAAAAGTTTCTGGTCTTTGGTACAGTGGTAGAGGGCAATGTTGAGGTCATGAATCCAGTTAAATTAGTCGCACACCTTTTTACAGTAATAAGTTACAGTAGATCAAAAGTGACATGTTTTAACCATTTTTAGGCTATTTTGGACCAAAATGGCTAATTAACCTCAATATTTCTCAATATTTCTACAGTAAAAGTGTCTGGTCTTTGGTACAGTGGTAGAGGGCAATCATGAGGTCATGAATCCAGTGAAATTAGTCGCACACCTTTTTACAGTAATAAGTTACAGTAGATCAAAAGTGACATGTTTTAACCATTTTTAGGCTATTTTGGACCAAAATGGCTACTTAACCTCAATATTTCTCAATATTTCTACAGTAAAAGTGTCTGGTCTTTGGTACAGTGGTAGAGGGCAATCATGAGGTCATGAATCCAGTGAAATTAGTCGCACACCTTTTTACAGTAATAAGTTACAGTAGATCAAAAGTGACATGTTTTGACCATTTTTAGGCTATTTTGGACCAAAATGGCTACTTTAACTCCATATTTCTCCAAATTTCTACAGTAAAAGTTTCTGGTCTTTGGTACAGTGGTAGAGGGCAATCATGAGGTCGTGAATCCAGTGAAATTAGTCGCACACCTTTTTACAGTAAAAAGTTACAGTAGATCAAAAGTGACATGTTTTGACCATTTTTAGGCTATTTTGGACCAAAATGGCTACTTTAAATCAATATTTCTCAATATTTCTACAGTAAAAGTTTCTGGTCTTTGGTACAGTGGTAGAGGGCAATCATGAGGTCATGAATCCAGTTAAATTAGTCGCACACCTTTTTACAGTAATAAGTTACAGTAGATCAAAAGTGACATGTTTTAACCATTTTTAGGCTATTTTGGACCAAAATGGCTAATTAACCTCAATATTTCTCAATATTTCTACAGTAAAAGTGTCTGGTCTTTGGTACAGTGGTAGAGGGCAATCATGAGGTCATGAATCCAGTGAAATTAGTCGCACACCTTTTTACAGTAATAAGTTACAGTAGATCAAAAGTGACATGTTTTGACCATTTTTAGGCTATTTTGGACCAAAATGGCTACTTTAACTCCATATTTCTCCAAATTTCTACAGTAAAAGTTTCTGGTCTTTGGTACAGTGGTAGAGGGCAATGTTGAGGTCATGAATCCAGTGAAATTAGTCGCACACCTTTTTACAGTAAAAAGTTACAGTAGATCAAAAGTGACATGTTTTGACTATTTTGGAGGTATTTTGGACCAAAATGGCTACTTTACCTCAATATTTCTCAATATTTCTACAGTAAAAGTTTCTGGTCTTTGGTACAGTGGTAGAGGGTAATAATAAGCTCATGAGTCAAGTGAAATTAGTCGCACACCTTTTTCCAGTAAATAGTTACAATACTTGAAAATTGCACTAGCGGACCAAATTGTGTACTTTATATATGTAAACAATAGAGTGGCTATCCTCCTGAGGACTCACAATCTGCCGGAGGAATCGTAGGGGACTGGTGCTATGTGTCATCTCTATAAGGTTTTAATCACAAAAACGTGTCTCCCTGACCCCAGCGCGCTTTCTGTTCGATAAAAATGGGTGACTCCGAAAGGACGTTCCGCTGTTACCGTAAGTTCTCAACAAAACGCGCACCGTCTTTTCCCCGATGCGGCCCGCATGTTCATAGAGCTGAAAGATGCGGGCCACTTTACCGCGGTATCCGGCGTCTCTTCGTCAGGTCAGACACTTGCGCTCCCTGATGTTGTATCCATTTTGGTGGCCTAAAAAATTGTAAACCGTTGTTCCTACGTTTTCCTTTCTTATTGTGTGAGGTACTGGAGCAGTTTTTCACACAGCAATGAGCTCCAGGCATGGTAAAACAGAAATAGCGATGACCTCCTTTGCTACCGAGTTAACAACAACTGTTTGCCGCTGGGTGGGATCCTACCAACATGGCGGAGACGGGGAGGGGCTCTGTGCTATGACGTCAACTCCTCACTCTCAATAGCGAACTATCTGAATGACGTCACTAAGACACGCCCCCGCCGCCTGTCAACTCCCGCCCACATGTTTCGGACAAACACTGCCCAAATGAATCAAATACCACTTGTCACTTTAGACGAAAATGAAATACCAGGGGCAAAATTCCACCATCAAACCATCAGGGATCATAGTGTAGACCAATTATAACGTTGGCTTGAATGTCGTGGTCTTCCAGTAGAAAGTTTGAATTGATAAAAAGATAATGGTGAGGATTATGCTAACATTATCTAGTCATTTAAATTGCAATGCTAGCGCCTTCTTTGTTTGTTTTGCTGTGATTAACTTCCATTTATCAAGTTTTTTTTTTTTTTGCACTATCCACTTTGTAATTAGTTTGATCATTAGTTAGCTACAGTCAGCTGATATTATAATAGATCCATGGGGTCACAACGGGTTACGCCACTACTGTCTCTGCAGAGAGAAACTATCGGAGCCACACTCAGTAAACACAAATGACAATCAATCGATACATTTAAATGTTAATGGGAGAATACATTATACATACATTCATAACACAAGTGCACGGAGGTTTTCAGAATTATCTGTTCAGGTTTTCATGACAAAAATACTTTTTTAATGCAACTAAAGCGATCGCTTTTTAAAAGTAGGTTAACTATCCTCACTGTTACTCGCCTGCCACGGGAAAACCTTTGGGAACTATTTTCTTTGCACTCATTAAATAAACCTTTCGGCATTAATAGTGAATGACGTTTATTTTGCGTGTTGAGTTGGTACAAAGCCGTATAATAAGCGGACCCCGACGCGCTTCGTCTGAACTTATTTTCCGATAGTCACAAAGTTGAAAAAAATCCCTCTCATCTTTCTTCAGGTGTGAGAATTGTATACTTTCTGGATTAGGACAAACAATACTAATATGGATTGATGGGGGTAAATGGTGTAAAGAGAAAGTTTGTGCTAACTACATTCAGAAGAGCTCAGACGGACCAGATACAGCGGTCCAGATCCAGTCCCAGCTAAACGTAGCTAGGACTGGATCTGGATACTCCACAGTTGATCCAGCTTCACAGACGAAGTGTTTTGAACAAATAGTCCTTTTTAACATTTTCATGAAAGAAATTCTGCCGACCACAAGCACCCACCTCTTGCACTTGTCCTGGTCTGATCTGGTCCTGGTCTGGTCCTGGTCTGGTCCGATGTTGTGGTTTAACGAACGGGTTGAATGTTACTTTGATAGTCCTTTTCAGAATATCTGAAATCGCTCCGACAAGCACCATAACTGCAGTGTTTTGTTGTCACCATGATTTAATGATTTAGCCCAAGTAAATACACACGCGTATGTGGAGAACACAGTACTCAACGCGTCGTACACAATGTTTGTCCGAAACATGCGCGCATGCGCAGTCATCTGAGCTATTTTTAGCACATTTCGGAAACCGGACAGTGCCCTATTAAAGACTCGTTTTTATCTCTTTCTTAGTGATGCTATCCTAGCTAACACCAAGCTGCTTTCAGTGTTATAGCTAGGTTACAACTGAGCTATTCTATGCTAATATTTCACTCCCCGAGTTTGTTGTTAATATACTTACGAGTAGACCTGACGGAGACGAATCTGCTGCTGCCATCACCAAGACGAAGCGCGTTCATGTGGTGTGCAGTGTTGCCAACTCCTCAGTAAGGAAAGTAGCTATTGGCTGTCCCAAAAGTCGCTAGAAGTCGCTAAATGACGTCATCGCCTAATTTGCATAATTTGCCATTTGCAAATAACTGTAACGGACGCTGTAGGAGAGAGGAATAAGGTCGTGGGAGAGACAAAAGTGAGTAAAAACACCCTAAATATGTTTAGAACTACAAATGTACAAAAATAATTTCAACATTAACAACATTTAATGATTTTAATGCTTTGTCTAGATCCACATTACACACATCAGTTTTGTCCTGTATTGTTAAATGTTATAACAGCAAATGTAATCAAAAGATTGTTATGTAGGGTGAAATTGCTAGCTCTACAACCAACCCTCCTCCTTTATCCGGGCTTGGGACCGGCAAAGTGACCCAAAAGACACACTCTGGCAGAGTTACTTAGGTTTATTTTTGTAAGTTTTTTTTTTTTTTTCATAGTTTGGCATAACAAATGATTTAATGTGACCCACTACTGAGAGAAAACAGAGTCACGGACAGAGCTGCCGCGGATGGAGTGGGGGGGTAGTGGGGGGTGGCGGTGGTAGGAGTGGCCGGGGAGCTTTGGATGTGTGGTGGTGGTGGAGCTGAAGTTCAGTCTGCAGCAGCCTGAAAACTTCCTGTGCTTTTGAGACAGGGTCTCCTCTCTCTCTCTCTCTGCTCCGCCCATAGACTGTAGCTGGGACTGCTGCGCAAGGCTACTGTGAGACTGGCCGCCTGTAAGTGCTTTGGGACGGGGGAGGGGCTCACGTTGAGGACAGCAGAACAATACGTGCTTCACGAGTCTCCAAAACACCAGATAAGTCGCCAAAACACCAGATAAGTCGCCTGGTGCGATGACAGGGGGGGCTCACTATTTGGAGGGAGTGCCAAATAGTGGGGGTGACCCCCCCCCCCCTCACGGGGAGCGCGCGTGACCGTGGGACACTTATTGTTTTTTTATGTACGTGGAACTAGATTCCACATGCTCTGGTGCTGCAAGGGACAGATTCCCATGTGGACTTTCCCGTCCATTCATAATACATGTTGCTCCTCTCCCTCCTTGACCTGCTCCTCTCCCTCCTTGACCTGCTCCTCTCCCTCCTTGACCTGCTCCTCTCCCTTCTTGACCTGCTCCTCTCCCTTCTTGACCTGCTCCTCTCCCTTCTTGACCTGCTCCTCTCCCTTCTTGACCTGCTCCTCTCCCTTCTTGACCTGCTCCTCTCCCTTCTTGACCTGCTCCTCTTCCTCCTTGACCTGATCCTCTCCCTTCTTGACCTGCTCCTCTCCCTTCTTGGCCTGCTCCTCTCCCTCCTTGACCTGCTCCTCTCCCTTCTTGGCCTGCTCCTCTCCCTCCTTGACCTGATCCTCTCCCTTCTTGGCCTGCTCCTCTCCCTCCTTGACCTGCTCCTCTCCCTTCTTGGCCTGCTCCCTCTCCCTCCTTGACCTGATCCTCTCCCTACTTGTCCTGCTCCTCTCCCTCCTTGACCTGCTCCTCTCCCTTCTTGACCTGCTCCTCTCCCTCCTTGACTTGCTCCTCTCCCTCCTTGACCTGCACCTCTCCCTTCTTGACCTGCTCCTCTCCCTCCTTGACCTGATCCTCTCCCTCCTTGACCTGATCCTCTCCCTTCTTGACCTGCTCCTCTCCCTCCTTGACTTGCTCCTCTCCCTCCTTGACCTGATCCTCTCCCTTCTTGACCTGCTCCTCTCCCTCCTTGACCTGCTCCTCTCCCTCCTTGACCTGATCCTCTCCCTTCTTGACCTGCTCCTCTCCCTTCTTGACCTGCTCCTCTCCCTCCTCTGACACAAATTCCTCTTCTTCTGCCTTGATCATCCATTTTCTTTTGGAACCTGCACTGACTTATAAAGGTGTGGTCACATCATTTGCAACAGGAGTTTTCAGCTCTGAGTGGTTGTGTTTTCTGAATGACACCAGGTCTGTTCACTGTGTTCAGGTTTTGCTGACAGTGGGAGACATTTTTCATCACATGAGCTTCACAATGATTATAGGAGCAGAGATACATGCAAAAAGTGTTTTAGCAAAGGAAAAATGTGTTTAGAGTTTTTGTCTACAGGTGAATTGTGTTTATGGTTGTGAGAAGTGGGGGGAAGTTTTAATAAATGTGTTTAGGCAATTGGTCATTTGGTTTACTGGAGTACTGGGTTTTGTGTTGTAGCAATAGAGAAAAACTGTAATCAAAGGTGTTGTTATTTACTCTTATTTCATTGTCACTATTGCTGATTCTTGTTAAACTTCTTGTAAACTGGTTAAAAAGCTCTTTATTTACTAAACGTGATGGAGGTGCATCATTTTTGCAGCCGTTTTAAAATGTGCCGCATGGCCGCTCATTGCACAAGTATTTGATTGATTGATTGATTGATTTTATTCATTCGAGCAGACATTTTACAATCACAAGTATTTACAATATTTACATTCCTTAGTTTACATGATTCTATATACATGTTGCCTGCTGTACTTACAGTATATACTTATACATGGAAATATATAAACATAACTATACAATCAAGCAAAGGTTACTCTAGTTTCACCATGTGATGTATATCTACAATATCAATATCAATATGTATTTACAAATGAACCTCTATTTACAATTTGTCAGCTCGAAATGGAGTGGGAAGGAAGTAAAAACTTGTCGACTCCCACCCCATAAACATAATTCCAATACATGCAAGAATTTTGTTGTTTAGTATTGAATAAATAATACCTTAATAATAATTTGTCATGTTCAGTGCGATTTAATACTTCTATGAAGCTAAATCTGAAACAATAATCACTGTGCCCCAGCAAGGCCCAGCGCCCCAACTCAGGCCAGCTCCAGTCACAAGAAGCAGCCACCACAGCAGTAGACCACTCATGCAGAGGACCTTTGTCCAACACACAGCAGGCTCCAACAACACCATGAGCAACCACCTCACTGGTCATTCAAATCATTGTTTTGTTCTTTCAGATGAAAAGGAATTTAATATATATATATATATATCTTGTTTTGTTTTTACTCTTTTGTATCAATCAATCAATCAATCAAATTTTATTTATAAAGCGCTTTTCATACAAAAAGTGTAACACAAAGTGCTTTACAGTTTCGTTAAAAACAATCCAACATGCCCAGCCCTAAACCCTCCTCCCCACAGACCCCCCTAAAACCACATTTATAATTATATATACAACCACATGCGTATACACACACACACACACAGACACACACATACAAGTATAAAGTCACATCAGGTACAATAGGTAAAACAATAAAAAGAAATGGGGCTGGGAGCAGATGTAACCGGCTGAAGAAGCGCCATCCAAGGAGCCATCTGCACCAGCAGCAGAGAGCCGGCTGCAGCCACAGGGAACGACACAGGACCCAGAGGAGAGAGGGGCCCCAGACCCCACCAGGCCCAGGACTCAGACCCCATAGGACCCAGAGGAGAGAAGAGGCCCCAGACCCCCACCGGATCCAAGAGCAAGACCCCCGAAGCCACAGCAGACCCCAGCTCCCAGTGCAGAGGGCTCCTCCAGAGGAAACACTGGGGACACCAAAACAATACAATAATACAATAGAAAGTAGAACAATAAAATGAGACACTAAAAAGAAAAATGGCAGCTGCCTAATATTGATAATAACAATAGTAAATGGGTAGATACAATAAATAATTAAAAATAGTAAATAATAAAAAAATAAAATACAAATAGAATGTGTCTAAAACATACATAGATGTACTAAAAAGCAATAATAAATAATAAATACTAATCAAATGCTACTCTAAAAAGGTGCGTCTTGAGTCTACTCTTAAAAATATGAACGTTCTCTGCGGCCCTGAGCTCCTCCGGCAGACTGTTCCAGAGACGGGGGCCGTAGTGCTGGAAAGATGCCTCGCCGTGAGTGTGTGTCCTGAATGTATGTCCAAATTCAATATACTGTAGACAGTGAGGTCATTCCACACTGCGTTTCCACAGAACACCACCATGACATAGGCCCACTGCCCCTCCACACCACCAGGGACGTGCGGTGAGGTTTGTGATTGGGGAGGCACTGACTTTAAAAGTCAGATTTACAATCATTATTCAAATAAAATAGCATTTAATCACCAATGCAATGACATCCACAAACTTTATATACTGTAAAGATAAGAGAACCAGCTTCTTTTAATAATCTCACAACAAATCTAGCTGCTGACTCTGCTCCGCATCAAACAACATCTTTAAGAAGCGCAGGTGCGAGAGACGCGAGGAGAGAGAGACGCGAGGAGAGAGGAGCAGAGAGAGACAGAGAGGAGCAGAGAGAGACGCGAGGAACATAAACAATAATTTAAACAAGTTGCAGAACTCTTGAGCAGTGTTTGAATCAGTGTTTTTCGGAAAAGCACTACTTTGCCGGTATCTGTCAATGTTCAACATAAAACACAGATTAACAAACTCCTCCCCCGCAGCCGGACTAACCTCGTAAGTCCAGTGGTGGTCTCCCAGTCTATATTAATTCTTTCTTTGTTTGAAAGTCCAATTGAGAAAAAAAATCTTCATTCAAATCATCCATTTTCCAGCAAAAGAAATAGCATTTTGGGCTGATTGTTTGTTAGCAACTCTGGTATGAACTTTATGCTCACTATCACCCCTAGCGGTGAGGCACAGATACCGCCTGCCTCACGCCAAGCTTTTTCCTTGTGTGTTCATCTACGATCAAAAGACTTAAACTAAATATAAATTGTACACACATACGTGCAATACACTACTAAACACTAAGAGGAGTTTAAAAAATGTTTTTAAAGCAGGATATTTGAAACAAACGGTGATATATCAACTGCACGAGCTGAGTGCACTCAGACACACACACACACACTGTGAGGGAGCGGTCTGGGGTGAGGCACGCAGGAGCGCTGCCTCACCTCGTCTCTTTGAATAGGAATAACGGGATTTCGGCGATTTTGACTTCAGAAATGATCAAAACTGATGGGAACCGTGCCGAATATACATTAAAAGCATAGGACAGTGGATATAAATTATATATTTAAACTAAAATAATTATTAGTTTCCAATAATGGCAGGTGAGGCTCTGCCTCCCCTGACTGCACGTCCCTGCACACCACCAGCCACCGCCACAGAAACCACTTCCAGAGACACAGAACCAGCCTAAGAGACTGCACCAATGCCCATCAAAGCAACACCAATCACTGCTGCACCTGTATTCTACACTCAATACACCAATGTATGAAATATTAAATGTTCTCTATACAGACAAATATAAACACAAGCATACATTCACATGTTTTCACATACATAACTACACAAGAAATACATACAACTGTTTTTAACCCTGTTGTTTATTGATTTTATTTTACAGTGATCATGAATGTTCTTATGCCCATACTGGTAATAACCAAAACAATAACTATTGACCCTGTAGTGATTTATTAGTATTTTTCTCTCTCATATTTTGTCCATATCATCTTTTAAGAATGTGATTTGAATTGATGGATACTTGAGCACTGCTTCAGCTCCAGGCTCAGGCTGTTCCAGAGCTTCACCCCACAGACAGATACACACCAACTCCTCCTTGTGGTCCTGACGGCTGGGAGTTTAAAGTTACTACATCCTCTCAAGTTATGCTCATATTCCTTTTTGATAAATGTCTTTTGAATATTGGCTGGTAGAATTTTTGCATTAGCTTTAAACATCAACTGTGCAGTATTAAGATTAACCAGGTCTTCCAATATTAAGAGCTTTGATTTCAAAAATAAAACATTAGTGTGATCGAGATAGCCCACTTTGTTTATTGTTCTTATTGCACGTTTCTGTAATATCTTGAGGGGATGTAGTAAACTTTTATAGTTGTTTCCCCACACCTCAATACCAAAGTTTAAGTAGGGTAGTACAAGCAAACAATACAATAAATTCAAAGCATTATAGTCAAGGATATATTTGGTTTTATTTATTATTGCAATGCATTTTGAGATCTTGGTACGTGTCTGATGTGGGGTTTCCAGTTCAATTTGTCGTCCATTATTTCACCTAGAAATTTGTTTTCAGATACCCTATCAATTTTGACACCATCTATGTTTATCAATAATTCTGATTTGATTTTGCAGTTGCCAAACATTACAACTTTCGTTTTGGTTAGATTCAGTGAGAGCTTGTTGGCATCCATCCATGATTTTAATTTGGCTAGCTCAGAGTTAATTTTATTAAGAACATTTGTATAGTTATCATTTGAATAAAAAATATTGGTATCATCTGCAAACAAGATCATCTTAAATTAACTGGAAATGTTAAACATGTCATTAATATATAAATTAAAACATTTTGGTCCTAATATTGACCCTTGAGGAACACCACAAGCAATGCTCAAGTATCCAGAAGTGTAGTTTCCCATTTTCACAAACTGCATTCTGTCTGTCAGGTAGCTTTTGATTCAATTGTGGGCAACTCCTCTTATTCCATATAATTCAAGTTTATTGAGTAGTATGGTATAATCTAATGTGTCGAAAGCTTTCTTGAGATCTATGAATATCCCTGCTGCATATTTCTCCTTGTCTAAGGCTTGTGTAACATCCTCCACTGCTTCAATTATGGCCATTGTTGATGATCTATTCCTCCTAAACCCGTACTGACTTTCATGGATTATGTTGTGTTTATCGAAGAACGTTTCAAGCCTGCTATCAAACAATTTTTCCAGAATTTTAGAAAATTGGGGCAAAAGTGAGACTAGTCTGCAGTTTGTGAAAATGAGTTTGTTACCATTTTTCTGGATATGTATTACTTTAGCATGTTTGAATGTGAATACGGACTCTTTTTGGACGCTTTAAAGATCAAACCAGAGCTTAGCCACTTGTAGCACACATAAGCATGAGATCCCTACAGATCTAATGTAAGGAGCAGATCCAATATAATTAGGCTAGAATCAGAAGATCAAGGATTCGTTGTGGGAGAGAGTAGTCAGAGGCAACACGTTTGCTTTCACCATGTATTGAACCAATATTGCAATTTTGAATGGCCACTCAACGTTATGTACACTATTTACAGTATTTACAAATGCAAAAACAAGGAAATCACAAAACATTCACATTAGTCACATTACCCCACCCATAGTCCAAAAAAAACCCACGTTGGGAAAAAATGGTGAAGGGAGGAAGAGTATATTGTCTGACCCGTTCGTTGAGGGAATGTGGGGTGAAAGTTTCTCTGGGCCACAGGAGCCCCCTACCCGCCCTGGGTTGAGCGACGGTTGTGATGCTGGGCTCCCCACGTCGGAGTAGGAGTAAAGTCTTTGGGTTCAGGCACGTATCTGGGTTAGCTCGCCATCGTTCTGGAGACCTGGCCGGCTCCTCAATTGTCTCGCACCCACAACCCTAAATGAACAGGATAGCGGACGAGTAGACAACAGCTCCTGCAGCTCAGCTTTCCTCTGGCGTCCCCACCTCTCACTCTGCTACTCACTGATTACCGCACCTGTAGTTGAATGCAGCGCGCGAGGCAGCTCGAACGTGTGACGTCATCGCGCAAGTGCGAGGCTCAGTGCAATGCAATACCTTTTTTTTAATCCACACTACTACTACTAATAATAATAAACCAGATTTGACAGCTGGGTTACACCCTCCCCACTTAGAACCATGCAACGCCGGTGCATGCTAGACTGCATGAGCACGGGAACATACAGGATTTTCAGATACAGGAGAGTTAAAAGCTTCTCCGAAAGCATCAGATAAACTGTGGAACAAGGTTTGTACCACCGAAATCAACGGCTTTCCCATAGCAGTGTATTGTAAACGCTGAGGTGGTTGACGCTGACGCGAGGAACGGCAAACAGGCGAGACTGTTTCGGCTATCTCTAGATCACTAGTAACTACGTCATTGACCATAGCGAGTTCTTCGGCAATAACAGGCGTTGTTAATGCCGGATTGGGGCATGTCTCTGTTGGGCCCTCGGATTGCCTAACTCCAGGAGGAACAGCTTCATTGGGTAAGTATTGTTCTGGTTGGGTCTCATTTTCCTCCTCAGGCTCTCCGAGAACATCATCTTCCTCCTCACTGGACAAAGATGGATTGTGGTCATCGGACCCTTCAGAGAACTCTCCAACATCAGGTAAGTAATTTAGTTCAGGTAAGATCTGCTGAGTAGGAACTGCAATTGCACTGGAGGAAGACTCAAGAGGAAAAGTACCTTCGACAATAAATTTTACAGGCGGCGGGACTGTAACTTCAGACATTGTAAATTCCTCTTCTTCACTCAAGCAATCAGGATCTACAACCGGTTTCTTTAAACTCCTGGTTTGAGGTCTGCGAACAGGTGTAGGTGGCAGTTCTCGCTCTTGGGTTTCTGGCAAAAACCCACATGGAAGTAAAAGATCTCTATGTAGAGTGCGTGTTCGTCCGGATAAGTCTTTTTCCACTCTCACCGTGTAAACGGGAAGATCTCCCGCACGCTTAAGCACAACGTAAATGTCTTTCTCCCACTTATCCTCCAGCTTGTGTTTACCACGGAGCTTCACATTACGGACAAGAACACGATCACCTTCTTCAAGAATGGATGGTTTCACTCTTCGATCAAAGCGAGTTTTATTTCTTTCGCCTGACTTTGCGGCGTTTTTGGAAGCAAGTTGATAACTTTCCTCCAAACGTGAGCGAAGATCTTGCACATACTGAGAGTGCGACATAAATGGATTTTCTCGAGCTGGCAAGCCGAAAGCTAGGTCTACTGGCAACCTTGGACAACGACCGAACATGAGCTCATAGGGGGTGTAACCAGTGACCTCATTTCTGGTACAATTATAAGCGTGGACCAGCGGCTTGACATATTCTTTCCATCGCTGTTTCTGCTCTGGCTCAAGAGTTCCCAACATACCGAGAAGGGTACGGTTAAACCGCTCAACCGGGTTCCCCCGAGGATGGTACGGTGTAGTTCTGGTCTTTTTAATACCAGCAAGATCACAGAGTTCCCTGATCAAATGGGACTCGAAATCTGGACCCTGGTCCGTATGCAAGCGCTCAGGAATTCCATAGTGCACGATAAAATTCTCCCACAGACACTTCGCAACAGTTCTCGCTTTTTGGTTAGCAGTTGGAATTGCCACAGCGTACTTTGTGAAGTGATCGGTGAGTACCAGAATATCTTTGGTATTGCTTTTATCGGGTTCGAGCGATAGATAGTCCATGCATATTAACTCAAGTGGCCTACTGGTCTGGATGTTTACCAGCGGTGCAGCTCGTTCAGGAAGAGCTTTCCTTCGTATACAACGATTACATGTTTTTATTTTTGTTTCAACATCTGCAGCCATGCGTGGCCAAAAAAATCTGGATCTAACAAGGTCCAAGGTACGCTCAACCCCCATGTGTCCCATGTCATCATGGAGGTTGGTAAGTACCACTTGGCGCAACTCTTCTGGCAACACCAGCTGAAATGACAGGTGTTCACCCTCTTGCCTTCTTCTGTACAATAAATTGTCTTGTATTTCAAGGCGATTTAACTCTCGTAACAGAAGAGAAAGTTCTGGTAACTCCTTCCTCACAGTAGGAGGAATTGTTTCACCAGTTTCCAGTTGATGGATAACCTCACCGATACTGGAGTCTGCTCCTTGCTTCTCCTTAAGTTCAAGATGAGTAAAGGTTGGAACAACTGGTAAACCAGGGTAAGACTCACTGGTATAGACATCTGGAATGACTGTGACAGACATAGTTAGAGACTCAACCAGTGTCATGCCGTTTCCAGTGGACTCGTCAGAACGTTGGCCCCTCAATAGACAGCTGTTGCATATGGCAGTGACAACATCTGGAGACAACTCAACAGAACTGCCCAGATTATACACATGTTCTTCAGTAAACTGTTTGACCATGTCCCACTCTTTCTGACAGTGGGCATCGGCTAGTTCCTCGTGTGGTCTCCGTGACAGAGCATCTGCATCCTTGTTTTGACTGCCTGCACGATACTGCAATTTAAAATCATAAGTAGCTAAAGCAGCAAGCCACCGATGGCTGGCAGCGTCCAGCTTAGCAGATGTCAAGACATAAGTTAATGGATTGTTGTCCGTTACAACAATGAACTTGGATCCATAAAGATAATCATGGAATTTTTCACTCGCACTCCACTTTAAAGCCAAAAATTCCAGTTTATGAGCTGGATATCGTGATTCACTTAACGACAAGCCTCTGCTGGCATATGCAATGACCCGTAACTTCCCATCCTGCTCTTGATAAAGTGCAGCTCCGAGACCAGTGGTACTCGCATCGGTATGTAAGATGTAGGGTTGTTTGGGATTAGCAAACCCAAGAACTGGGGCTGTCGTTAGTTTGTCAACAAGGGTCTCAAACGCAGATTGACATTGTGGCGTCCATCTCTCGTTGAATGGCTGCTTCGAGTCATGGATTGGAATAGATGAAGTGGCCTTGTGGGTTAGACGACGGGTTGGAGCATACCCCTTGGTCAAATCATTTAAGGGCTTGGCCACCGCAGCGTAACCATTGATGAACCTGCGGTAATAACCAGCAAATCCCAAGAATGACCTCAGTTCTTTCAGAGTTCTTGGAACTGGCCAGGATTTTAAGGCGTTCACCTTGTCAGGATCGGTCTCAACCCCGTCCTTTGAAACGATATGTCCGAGATAGCGCACTGAAGTTTGGAAAAAACCTGCACTTCTCTGGGGACAGTTTCAAGCCAAAATCACGAAGACGTTGTAAGACTCTCAATAAGCGACGTTCATGTTCTTCTAAGGAGTCTGAAAAGATAATCAAATCATCAATAAACACTAAGACCTCCTTAAGATGTAAGTTTCCCATGCACTTCTCCATAAGACGTTGGAAAGTGGATGGTGCATTGGTCACTCCCTGCGGCATTCTGTTGAATTCCCAAAATCCTACTGGGGTTACAAAAGCCGTTTTGGGTTTATCACTTTCTTCCATTTCGATCTGGTAATACCCAGATTTAAGATCAAGAACACTGAACCATTGAGAACCAGTAAGTGCCGAAAAAGACTCATCCACGTTTGGGAGTGCATAAGCATCTTTAATAGTCTGAAGGTTAAGCTTACGGTAATCAATACACAAACGGACATCTCCGTTCTTCTTCCGCACGACCACTATGGGCGAAGAGTAGGGTGATTCAGACTCTTGTATCACTCCAGCCTCCTGTAGATCTCTTAAGTGATTGCGGACTGCTTCAAGATCACGAGGGTGGATAGGTCGAGCTCTATGTTTGAATGGAGTTTCATCACTAAGGCGGATGTGATGTTTCACACGGTCTGTACATCCAAAGTCAAGATCGTGATGTGCAAATACCTCAGGAATCTCCTTGAGCTTGGAGATGACTCGCTCCTTCCACTCCGGTGGTATTGGAGATTCTCCAAATTGAAATTCCAGTTGGACATCACTGGTGGGCTTCCCTTCATCAACCACATGTTGAGACAATAACTGTGGTGACGTAGAAAGTTCAGCAACCACACTCTTGGGTTGAAGTATAACACTGTGCTCTGACTCATTGGTGACAACAATGGGTAGCTTTTGGGGTGCTTTGCTGTGTATTGTGATGAGACAACTCTTCACACACAGACCTCCAGGCATTGGCATGGTTGGTTGTTCTACTAGAGCACAGTTGCCAGCTAGCGGTGTCTTGACCCAAACAGAACCCTCAACCACCATCTTGTGACCTGCAGGAACTATGACTGGAGATTGACTGTCCAATCGCACCATGCAATCACTGGCAGCTTGAGCCTGCTGGTGTCTGAGCTGAAGCAACTGGAGAACTGCTCTGTAGCCATACAGCACAGGTATGTAACTGTGACGCTCACTCTTAAGATGGTGTTCATAGAGTGGCTCTAAAGTATTCATCCCGATGAGAATCTGAGATGGAAAACCAGAATTAAAATCTGGTACAACCAATGCCAATGTGCACACATCTAACTTGTCACCGATAAAATCTTCAGGGAATGTCATTGTTATTTCAATGTAGCCCAAGTAGGGTACTTCCTGTCCAGCTGCTCCCTCCACTTGTAATAATTCGCTCAACGGCTTGATTGGCTGATGAGTAAAATGTTCATTGTAGACAGAAACTGGAATGGTCGTTACTTGTGATCCGGTGTCCAATAAGCAATGAAACTTGTGGCCAGCGATGGTAACTCGGCCGGTGCATTTGGAACCAATAAGACCCTTTGGCAGATTGGTAGTGTCAGCTGGAATTACATGCGATTTCATCAGACATTTTACTTGCGTTTGCTTGGTGGGACGGTGTGGGTCCTCCGCAGTTCCCGTTTGCCCCTCAACAGGAACTCTGCTTAGTTTAAAACACTGTGAGGGGTAGATCTCTGCCATTTTCTCTGCTTTTCTGCAAACTGTCTTTTCTTCAAAGAAACAAGTGAGGGATTAGAGTCATTATCACATGCTGGTCTAATATGTCCATCTTCACCGCAATTATAACAATAGCCAGGTTTTGGCCCCGATTGCTGCGCTTTGTGAAGAGATTCGGAAGTGGACTTAGGTTTTGAGCTGTCATAACTAGACTTGCTGGTAGAAGACTGCTTCTGACCAGACTGTGCTCTGGTTAATGATGCTAACTGCTTTTGAATATCAGCTAGTTGTTGTGATAGCTGCTGCGTGATTGTGGTCAATTGATCAATTCTCGTATCGTCACTTTTAGTAGTGGATGCATACTGAACATGGGCTCCAACTCTAGCTTTTGATGAGCCTAGATGCTGCTTCATGCGTTGCGTCTTTGCAGCTTCTCTATCTTCCTCTGTCCTGAGTAGCAGTAAAAACTCTGCGAACGATGGTGGATGGGATTTACGCTGCTTTAACTGGAGTTCAGATATTAGCGTGTTGTCCCAGCAACCACGACAAAATTGATTAAGTAAGTGTCGATCAATGTCAACAGCTGACGCTCCCCCCCTTTTCACCGCTAAACTAAGTGCAACCTGCAACCGTTGCAAATAAGCAGATGGTTGTTCTCCATTATCCTGGAACAGCTCCATAAATTTTGCATACAGTTCGTCACCGTCTTGTACTGTTCCGTAGGCGGAATCAAGGATTTGAAGATACATTGTTGGTGGCGTTTCAGGTTTCAGGTGCTTCACCATGTCTGCGGCTGGTGGAAGAAGACTTTCGAATATCTTCCGAGAACGTTGAAGATCGGACACAGCCGGATCGTTTAAAAGAAGCGCTACTCCCGAATGCCAAGTTTCATAATCAGACTCATGCTGTGGTCTGGGTATACGACCTGAGAATGATCGGAGTCTCTGGGATGACAGATGAATGGCAGCATCATCACTTTTCATTATGTGTTCAACCACGTATCTCTGTACTCCAGTTGGATTCAGATCTGGAAGAGACATGGCTGGGAGAGACTGTCTGTTACTGGATCTGGAGCGAACATTGGGATCAGGAAGGATTGGTGGCACCTCCTCCTGTTCTACCCCTGCGCAATCTGGTGAATGCCTGGTGGTGACATCACTAAACGTTTTCATAGATTTTGAGACTTCAGTTTCATTCAGGGGAGACTTGACTTGTGGATTGACACTTAGTGTGGATATAGATTGACCCAACAGAGACATAACACCCTGGAGGACTTCTGCATAATCCTGCCCAGTCTGTTGCGCAATATTTTTCAAATCATCAAGGTATGCATCGGTTTTGGATTTACCCTCTAACTTAGCACACACCATTGAAAGTCCAGAAATATCATAAGTTTCCATCCCACTATGACACACATAAGTGTATGGTAACAGTTTCCTTAATGCAATCAAAGCATCATTAGATTCAAATTCAATTATCATACATTCATAGAAAATACTCATCGGTTCAGAAATGACTTCATTTTTGGAAACTTTACCATAACCAGTCAAAAACTCAACTACTTCCTTATCTGTGTCATCGTTTGTAACGTATTTAACCAATACCGAATTTGGGATTTTTACGCCTCGTTTTTCCAAAATGTCCATTTTTGCACAATATGTCACTTTAAATATTCAATACACAGTCACTACTGTACGTACTCTCTCCTGGCTAGCTCGCCACTAATTATGTAGCACACATAAGCATGAGATCCCTACAGATCTAATGTAAGGAGCAGATCCAATATAATTAGGCTAGAATCAGAAGATCAAGGATTCGTTGTGGGAGAGAGTAGTCAGAGGCAACACGTTTGCTTTCACCATGTATTGAACCAATATTGCAATTTTGAATGGCCACTCAACGTTATGTACACTATTTACAGTATTTACAAATGCAAAAACAAGGAAATCACAAAACATTCACATTAGTCACATTACCCCACCCATAGTCCAAAAAAAACCCACGTTGGGGAAAAATGGTGAAGGGAGGAAGAGTATATTGTCTGACCCGTTCGTTGAGGGAATGTGGGGTGAAAGTTTCTCTGGGCCACAGGAGCCCCCTACCCGCCCTGGGTTGAGCGACGGTTGTGATGCTGGGCTCCCCACGTCGGAGTAGGAGTAAAGTCTTTGGGTTCAGGCACGTATCTGGGTTAGCTCGCCATCGTTCTGGAGACCTGGCCGGCTCCTCAATTGTCTCGCACCCACAACCCTAAATGAACAGGATAGCGGACGAGTAGACAACAGCTCCTGCAGCTCAGCTTTCCTCTGGCGTCCCCACCTCTCACTCTGCTACTCACTGATTACCGCACCTGTAGTTGAATGCAGCGCGCGAGGCAGCTCGAACGTGTGACGTCATCGCGCAAGTGCGAGGCTCAGTGCAATGCAATACCTTTTTTTTAATCCACACTACTACTACTAATAATAATAAACCAGATTTGACAGCTGGGTTACACACTCATCTATCACATAGGCTCTATGTCTCTTATGTCACCAAGCACTGAGCAAAGGGGTGGAGTTAAAATGCAAAGTAACTCAACTTACTAAACTTTGTACCGAGTAAATATTACCCAGTTTTTGATTTGTAATGCCTTACATTACTGCGTTACAGCAAACAGGGACCTCTCATATTTTCAAGAGGTCCCTGGAAGGAAGATGTTTGTTGGATGAGAGGGAAGCAGGTGCGTTCTTTTGTTTCAGGACATACTTAAGACATGAAAAGTTGAAGGCGGTTTTCACGAGGACTGCATTGGGCCAATGTTAGGTGAATGTATAGATGTAAATCCCAAGGCCCTCTGTTTTTTAGAAATAGTGAAAAATCATTGAAGTGTATCTGTTTGTGTATCTGCTCCAGGTCACCGCTCCGAAGTGATCCTGTTGATGCCAAATGCAATGTAAAGGATTTTTTAGTATTACACTAGTGCACATGTATGTTACCTGGTGAGCCATGCTTCACAGGCTTTGGTTCTCTATAAATAAACGGGGACCTCACTGTTTAAGAGAATCTCCAACTACAATTTACCTCTTTCATGTAAATGTCTCCATTGTGAGATCAATAAAGATTCTATTTGATCTTATTTTAATATTTGCATTCAGGATAGGTCAAATGCAGAGTACAAATTTCCCTACAGGGACAATGAAGTATAACTTAACTCAGAACTCTCTGATGCACCCTACTCCAATACGTGTAAGTGAATGCCTGCCAACATAGGCTCCTGTATCTGTTGTGCTTAGATGTTCATAACAGTAGCACACATTATTGGGTATTTAAGAAACTAGAGAGTAACTGCTCCTGCTCATTAGCGTCTAAGAAAGTAAGCAAATAAGTAATCTTTATTTAAATACAGCCTTTCACAGACCAGAGTCACAAAGCGGTTTACAATTGTGGTCCTCTCGCTCCACACAGAGATGGTCCATGTCATTGAAAGAAATGAATGTTAGTGGTTAATCGATAGAAACTACATGAACTTCAAACAAGAATGTGTCAGTAATAAGTCAAGTATGACAACTGTGATGTCTCTGTTACTGAAATTACAAAACATTCCACCCATTGTTTAAGGACCAATTACCTAAACACGCATGCATACTTTCTCATCATACATCTTGTGTCTTCAGAAAGAGCGTAGATCATTGATGACAGCCACTGCGAGCTGCAGAGAGACGGCAGGTGCGTTAATTTGTTTCAGGACATACTTAAGACATGAAAAATTGAAGGCAGTTTTCAAGAGGACTGCCTTGGGCTAGTCCAAAGCACTCTTGTTTAGAAAAAATGAAAAATCATCATATTGTATCTGTTTGCTGACCAAGATATGTGAGGCTGAAATACATTGGTGTGCATTACATCATGTTGATCTCAGCCCCGAGCTGCCTTCTCCTTCATTGTCCTTCCTTCTGTTTCAAAAGTGGCCTTTTAATGAGACAGGGAAGCTCCAAGTCATTGCTCCTGTACGATTAACTCAATAATAATGTAAGAAATTAGCAACACAGAATTCAACCCTTTAAGAATCACTCTCCCTATACAGGGAGGATTCATTCATTCATTCATTTATTTTCATTTAGATATTCAGATAGATTCAAATATTAATAAATAAATAATAAATTAATAAATATTAATTTAACAGCATCAGTATTAGTATTCACTTGTGTGTGATACCTTTCAAATGAGGCATCATAACATCAACAACATCAGACACAAGATGTCCACACAATAAGCATTTCCATTTGGGTATCATAATTCGAGTGGGAACAGGCGAAATTAGGTGAGCCTGAGGAATGCTTTCGACTACCACTAACTGCTCATAAACCTCAACTCTCACTATCTGCTGCGCTCCACTCTGTTGCAATGCAAGGCTGCAGGAGTAGAGAGTGCCCCTGAGGCCCCAAGGGAGCTCCGTACCTCTTTTTGAGAATAAAAAACCATGGGGTATATGGTAAAACATACTTGCAGATCTTCTGTACCTGTTTCTACAGTACATTGTGATCATATAGATAAACTTGTTTATTAATATGTGACCTTAATGGCCCCAGAGCACCTAACGTTGCAGGCTGACTTGTTGTAAATCCTATAACATTTGTGAAGTACAGGTGTTTTATTATCCCCAAATAAAGTTTTCAAGTCGAGGATATTTACATTAATAAAGCTATTGCTAATACCTCGCTCCATCTTGCAGGACAGGTTTATGACCACGCCTCGACCTGCCATGTATGGACAGGTGGCCACACCTTTTCCACACCTGAATCAACATAAAAGGGAACAGCTCAGCATCATTGAGTCACAGATCTTCAGAGAAATCCTCTGTTCAGTCTTTGAAACCTCAGCCTTCAAATCTTCAGCCTCCTCTCAACGCCCGACAGGTGATTAGTTCATGGTTTATAGTTCCATCTTTTGTTTTAATTCTAGGTTTAAATTGTATGTTATCTTTATCAAGTAGGTCTAAATTATTTCAAAGTGAAGATTATAGATTATCTGCTCTTTCTTAGCTACTCTGGTGTACCAGCTTTAGTTAAAGGAGCTATACCCGTTTCTGCAAGGTTTGAGTGTTTAGCACCGCCTCCCAACTCGCTCAGAGCCTTCTCATTTCCCCTACGCTCTCATCCCACAAAGCCATCTAGTTGTATTTGCGATCTGATTCTAACATCTTCTGATTCATGCTTCTTCTAGCATGAGCGCAACTTAAGCTGTACAACAATCACTGATGAAATGGTACAAAAGCAAAACACTGCTAACACAATATATACTGTAACTGAAAGATTACCGCTCGTTCCGCGTCCGAATGTAGTCCGAGCATAGATAGTCCGAGCACAGATAGTCCGAGCACAGATAGTCCGAGCACAGATAGTCCCAGCATAGATAGTCCGAGCATAGATAGTCCGAGCACAGATAGTCCGAGCACAGATAGTCCCAGCATAGATAGTCCGAGCACAGATAGTCCCAGCATAGATAGTCCGAGCATAGATAGTCCCAGCATAGATAGTCCGAGCATAGATAGTCCGAGGCGGTCCCGCAGGTCTCTCCCATAGACAAGTCTCTCCAGAGGATTCGATGTAAGCTAGCCATGTTCACACGGGCTTGGTTTCTTCTTCGATCATTTTTTCGCTTTAGTTCCCTCTTCTCTTCCGCACTGTTGTGTCGTTTGGGTTGATTTTCTGTGTCTGCAGTTACAGCAAGAAGAGTTATAGCCAATTCTGCTAACATGTTACTGTTTTTAGCAGCGCTGTAGAGGTTAGAGGACGCTGCCTCGTTCTGTGATTGGAGGAGAGCTGGCGTCACGCTAAAGTCTCTACTCAGCACTTTTATAAGGCCTGAATTCATACAACACTGAATCATTGAGCTCAAGTTTTCAATTAAATTACAGTTTATAATACAACTTGTATGTAGTACAGTAGTATGTAGAATTTTTATGAACTCATTAGAAAATAAATCGGGTATAGCTTCTTTTTTATGACTGAAATAAACAACAGTAAACATTGTGTTTGTTTCTGTTCCTGCCTCAGCTGCACAGGTTGGAGCTCCTTCATCATGCTCAGCCTCCTGCTGTGTCTCTCGGCCCTGGCACCTCTGGCCGGTGAGTGGGAACATACACTGCACACAAGCCTGAAGTTTCACATTATTCCAATCTCGGGTTTCATTAAGTTTTACATTACGTTTATATGATATAATTTATTCATATCCACACACTTTTTAGCAACCATTTATTTGTACAGACATGTATACGGACATTTTGAAGGCTTATATATACCGGCAGAATGTTGTTAAAATCAATAATTACCTGCATGAAGAGCCAATGGAGAGCTTTTCAAACTGATGTAATACAATACTTTGAGACTGCACATCTGCTTTTTTGCCTATTCCCTCTGATTGGTCCCACTGATGGAAACAGGACATGTTGTGCCTTCAGAAGAAAAATGTCCTTGCGATAAATACATACATAAATGTCTAAATACAACAAAAATCAAATTAGGAACAAAGATAAAATAATAATAATAATAACAATAATAATAATAATAATAATAATAATAATAGATTTTATTTATAACGCACCTCACATATGCGAAGCACATCTCAAGGTGCTACAGCAAGTTTAAACAAAGGCAAAACATCAGAATAAAAACACATACAAACAAATACTAAAATGCATTTAAAAAATGGGCTGCAGATCAGCAGTAGGCCTTCCTGAATAGCTCTGTTTTCAGGTGCTTTTTGAAGCACTCCACAGACTGTGGCACCCGCCGGTCTTGGGGCAAAGCGTTCCACAGGTGTGTGCTAAGAGACCAATTATTGTATGAAGGCGATGAAGGAGAATTGAATGTTCTATGGTGTTGAATGCAGCTGTTTCTGTGCTATGGTGTGGTCGGAAGCCTAACTGGAATTTTTCGTAGAGGTTATTATGTTTCAGGTGGTCCTGATGTTGGGCAGAAACAACCCTTTCCATGACCTTAGACAAGAAAGGGAGGTTCGAGATGGGGCGGTAGTGAGCCAAGATGTCGGAGTCCAGAGATGGTTTTTTAAGATGAGGACAAATGATGGCTTCTTTTTAGTGTGGGTGGGATGTGGCCGCTCTGAAGAGACTGGTTTATTATGGCAGTGATAAGTGGGCTTATTGCAGAGGCATTGGATTTGACCAGAGGAGTGGGAAGGGGGTCAAGGGGACAAGAAGAGCATTTTTCGCACAATTCCCTCAACTTCTCTCTCAGTAGCAGCGGTGAACTGAGAGAAGCCAACTTCTGAGTCTGCTACTGGCAACTTCATCTGAGGTTGCCAGTAGCAGAGAGTGAGGTACGGGTCTGTCTTTAATTATTCTGGTTCTGATTGGTTATTGCATGCATTGGTCTTTGGTTTGATGAGTTTGTTTACTATGGAGAAAAGTTGTTTTGAATTTCCAGGGTTGTTGTTTAATAGTATTGAGGTGTTCTATTCAATAGGCGTTTGAACAGTATTGTGATCTGGCAGTGGTTAGTGCTCTTGAATAGAGTTTTTGATGGTCCCTCTTTGCCAGATTGTGAACAATTAAATTGCTTTCCACAGCACGACACTCAAGAGCATGGCCTGCTGTTTTCAACTGCCGAAACTCATTGGTAAACCACGGTGCTGATTTTGTGAAGGTGACCGTTCTTGATTTGACAGGGGCGTGAACATTCAGAAGGTTCTGAAGTGCTGTATTGTAGTGATTAGAATAGAGTCATTAATGGAGGAGTTTTGTGCATTACTAACTAGGTTAATTATGTCCAGGTTGAGGTCTGTTTGATTGATGTTTTTCAGGTTCCTGAATGTTAAACAGTGCTGTGGCTTACAGAGGTTGTGTGGGGGGAGATCAATGGAAATAACCTTGTGATCAGAGACAGCAATGTCATAAACGTGGGGTTTTGAAATGAGAACTGAGTCTGTGATGACAAGATCCAAAATATGGCCTTTGCTACGGGATGCTAAGGTCCAGAAATTCTGCTGCAAAGTGGTCTGAGGGAGTGTCAAAATGTATGTGTAGATCACCAAGTATCAAAACATTTGATGAGGAAGTGCAGATGGTTGCAAGGAAATCATGGATTTCCTTGATAAAGTCTGGGACGATACCACACATATACAAGAATAAATGATATCTTTACAATAATTATATTCTAATAATAAATAACATCATTGTATTCTTGTTTCGTAAATGAATCCCAACATCCAAGTATTTATTGTCCCACTTAATACAATTAATTTCCAACTCTATGAAAGGAAATCGACCATGACTACTGTTGTCAAATAATATCAAATAATACATTCAATTGTTTTAAATTGAAATCGGCTATACCTATTTATGACATATTTTATGAAAAATTTCAAAATGTTAATCATCAGTTTCTTATGAATAGTTTTATTTCAGTTTGTTTTCATGAAAGATTGACATTGTGTGTCTGTTTAGGGGCTGTGACGTTGTCAACAGACACTACAAATATTGACATCTCAGCTTGTCCCATCAAGTACTTTGGTGCTGGGCCATATTCTTCTTTTGATGTAAGTATAAGAATTACAAGTATCACTAGTGCTGAGCCTGCTCTTGTCGCTCATTCTCTGTTCTGTAATAATCTTTCATTTGTGTGGTTTCCTATGACACAGGTAGCATTTCTCGCTCAAGTCTCTGGACCCAGACGTTTCTCAATTATTTTCAACGCAGGATTAAACGATCTAATTTATTCACCACCTATCGCTGTACCTCAGTCACTTGATTATGACATTGTCACTGATGTCACTGATGCGAGTTTGGCCGCTGTTTTGGCAACGCTTGAGGGAAAGATCAGCCGTCTTCCTGCTGCTTCTGCTGTGTGTGCCATTAAATTCAGCGGCACATTCAGAGGAGCAGGTGTAAGTATTTTAACACAACACATGGACAATAATAATGTTGTGGTTTATACTTTGTCTCTTCACTTTTGTTTATGTCTTACGCTGTTTTTATTCAAAGCTAAAATACATCCTTGGAGATGGAGTAGTCCTCAATATGCATTTATTTGACCGAGTAAACCATAAGGAAATACTTTAAATAACAAACAGCTAACCAAGGAAGGATAGTGCTGCTCCTCTCTGGGTTTAAAATATGCAGCATTCCTTCATTCATTTATTTATGCTAACAATAGGTTACACAGAGCATCTTTTCATTAGACTGAAGGTTTTTACAATACACCTTTGGATAAATAAATGATCATTTCAGTTTCAGAAGACATTCAAACCAGAACTGCACTGTAGACATAAAATAGTATTTATGAGGAATTTATATCAGAAAGTTAAAGAAGGATTCTGGTTTAGTCCTCAGATCACAGTCTATGGTGGAGTCCTAGTTTGGTTTAGCCCACTGTAATCTGAGCCCTGGTAAATGATATATTCTTGTGTACAGGAGTTATTGATCGTCAGCTACAATATAGATGGGACAGATCAGGCAGCTGCATATATGTCTGCTGATCTTGAAGGGAATGATGTAAGTAATTTTTTATGTACAGTATAATTTTTCAAGTTTTTGTGGGTTGAACTTTATTTACTTTAATATATAAATTATCCTTTTTTATAAAGAATCATGTTTGTGTCGTTGTCAAACCCTTTGAATTTTAGTGGTTATATCCAGGTATATTATGGTCCTCAAGTCTTCCCAGAGAATAATAGCAATTTATAACATTGAATCAATGATTGATAGTTGTCTCCAACCTGTGGCTCGGGAGCTACCAGTTGTTTACCAACTCCTTTAAAGGATGCAGAACTTAAGACATGTTCTTAAATGACTACGTTTTGAGTCGTTACGTATGGTATGAATATAGAGTTATTCATTATAAGAGTATATTTTGCATGACACATATTCTCCATGTGTGTTCTCTCTTGCTGTGATTAAGGAGTAGCTTTCTGTCTCTTCTGTTGTTTAAAACTAGCTCTCTGATTGAAAAAGGTTGGAGACTCCTGGTTTAGTCCATTATTCTCACACAGCCCTTATTACTGTGTCTTTCATTGTAGGTGTTTATCTTTTATTTCAATGGTGGTGGATATGTGACCACGGCATCATCAGGAACAGCTGGAGCTCAGACAGACTCTCAGGACCTCACTCGTTGCAGAGCGGGTAAGTCTTTCAGTCTCACTTCCTTGCATGCCTCACTACTGATTCGTTTATTCTTATTCTGCATTCATTTTGTCTTCTTTGAGATGAAGTTTCCTATAATCCTTGTACGTTGATTTACTGAATTTACTCTCATAATTGTAATCAAATGTCTTTATATAGGCTTAGGTAAAAGCTATAAGGTTGATGAGGAGGTGAGACGTGACTCTGACACCTGCAGCATCGAGTCGTGTTTAGCCTCTGGTGATTTTCAATCCAGAAGCATTTGTGCCACAGATCAAGTCTGTATGGGCAAGCATGTGTAAGTATAATATGCAGATTTTTCAAACCTATTTCAGCTTGTGTCACTTACTTGTGATTATTTGTGATCTCTGTTTAAAAATTCCCAATGATTGATTATCAATAAAACAAATCAAATTCAACTCATTTGTTGACGTTTTTGTGAGTGATTTGTGTTGATTTTCCCCCTTGACTTCTCTCAGATGTGGCAGTGAACACTCCTGCTCCATTGTGGCCAACAGCGTGGTGGCTGTAAGCGGTGCAACTGCTGTTATTCCTGATTTTTGTGCCTATGACATCGTCTCAGGAGATGGATTGGTCGTAACCGCAATACTCAGAGAGCGCCGCTACAAAGACACCCCCTTCGTGGACTCAGTAAAGATCAGTACAACCTCTGGAGGAACAGACATTGTTACTCTGCTCCAGGGAGGAAAAGCAGAACTGAAGGTGTGTTTAACCTTTTGATGAAGGCGTTCTATCATTCTTTAAATTGTATAATTGGCAGATGAGGAATCAAAATGACCATTGCCCATTATTCAACTGTTTGAAATTGTCTTTGCTATTGCTTTATTGTAGCAGTATTGTGTTGGGTAAAGCTAATAGTCGTCGTGTTTCAGCAAAGATAAAAAGTTAAACCCAAAATTCAGTTAGAATGGAAAAAAAGATTTTTAACAGAACATCTTTCTCATTATATTTTGATTGAATAATACATGCTTAGTGCATTAACTTTCTCATGCATTTTCCTCAGATGTGTGTAACAGAATGTTATTATTTGATTGAACAGGAGTCTACTGGGACTACAGATTTGACCCTCAGCTCGACTGTAAAAACCCAGATAGGCTTAAGCCTGTACGACCACGGCAATGGACCATTGGCCTCTTTTACTGACAGCGACGGCATCATCACTGAGATTTTCTTTGAGGGCACCTTACTGCATGTGAAACATACAGGTGCTTATTCCAGCCGTTCATCAGGAAAACACTCTGTATTGTTTTTTGACTATGTAACATTTCCTCTTTTAGAACATGATAATGGACACATGATTTACTAAATTATCTTAAGTAGTGAAACAGCCTCCTCTAGTGGTAGAAACGTGAACTTCATAAACTTGAAACATGACGGAATGTAACTGAAGGAAAACCGTCGTAAAACCATAATAATAATAATAAAGACAAATAGTAAACAAAAAAGGTTTTTTAATAATGTAGTCTGAAACTACTTTTTACCCCACAGTGCCAAGTGGAAAAACTGCATACACAGATGGTGTGTGTTTTGATGCCACTGATATCACTGGTGAGAAGGTCAACACCTACTCTTCATCCAGGTAAGTTTGAAGTCTTTAACACCTAACCCCAGGAACATGACACAACCTAAACAAAAGGAAAATGCTTCACATTCAGAGCCAAATATGAAAAATAAACATATATATTTGAATGCTTTGTTTTAAAGTTGACATAATAAACATATATATTTGAATGCTTTGTTTTAAAAGTGTGTTTAAAGTTGACATAATACTATTACATCTTCTATATATGATGCCTCCAGTGGAAGATTTTTAAAAGCAGCTTTGGTGTGCATGACACAAGAAAACAATATCATGGTCAAAAAGTTTACGTTACTGTGTGTCCTCCCTTAATTTTTGTTCTCAATTTTCCTCTAGTTGTGGCTCCATCGTTTCGGACTCTCGAGGTGATGGGATTACCTGCTCCAACAAACAAAACCGTGAGCCAACATTATAACATTATATTAGAGAGTTCTGAACAGCACTATTATAACAGTGGGCCCACATCGTCACTTCTGGGTAACTTTCTAGTGCGTTTTCAACAAAAACTGAAAAACCAAAGACAAAAGTTAAGAATATTTATCATGGTTAAAAATAGAATCGTGATGAGCTTGAATGTGACACAATTGTGAATGATTGGTGGTTGTTTGCGAGTCTTATGCAGTAGCTTGGCAGACTTGCTTTTATCTACCCAGGGCAGCTGTGTCTTCAGTTAGTCTAAACAAACCAGTGGGGGCAGGTCCCAGCTCAAAGTGTCCAAAATGACGTGCGCTGACATGCTTGCAATACCACCCCGGGCCGATGGGGGTGGACCCAGAAGAAGAATTAGCCAACGCTAACATAAAGCATTGGCAGACCTCTCGAAAACGTCTTTACAGGATGGTCCAAAAGTTGACTCTTGGCTCAAAGCTCCGTTCTAACATTGTGTGTCAATGCTGAGGGGGGGGAATTTTTTTGGACCACTCTAGTTTACTTGGTGTGAATTTTTGAAGTCTCTTGTTCAAATGAATGGAGCTGCACCGGCTGAAGCTTGTGCAGATGCGTTTTTTCACAATTTTCTTGTGGGCGGGACCACTCGCGGCCATTTTGGATTGCTCCAGTAGAGCACTATTTTTGGCCCCTTAGTTAGAACGGCGGAGATCGGCCGTGACTACGTCCGTCAATATATACAGTCTATGAAACAAACAGTGTGAATGTATAAAGTATAAATAAAGAGTTTTGAATGTCACCCCCCATACTGTAAGTTCATTGTATTCTCATGATTATTTGTCTTGTTTCACAGATGCACTGATGAATTGAACTCTGTGAAGGTGGATTCTGTCGACATAGCCCCCTACGTCAAAGCCTGCGCTGACAACCTGCTGTGTGGCTATCATGACGGCGACGATCTCTACTGCCGCTTTAAGCAAGCCTACGCCCGCACCGCCGACCTCGACTCCTACGATTGCTGTACGTTTTATTTTTCACATGCTATTTCATCTGAATGAGTTAAAAATACTTTATAAAAATATTACTATGAATACTCATTTCATTTTCAGCAGATTTGGATTTGTTCTCAAATTTTAGTTTAGATGCACTGACCAAACTGGTTTTTTTTTTAAATTCCATTTTTTGAAAAAGGCCATGAAAAAGCACCTCCAAAAGTCCACTTTTTTGAAATCTAATGTTTTACACTTTCACATTATTTGTATATTTGCCAAGCAGCTTATTTGTGTATACAGACTGTAGTGTAGTGGTGGAGATGAGAACTATGTGTTTCTTTTTCAGCTGCCTCAGTTTGTTTGTTTCATGAGTGTGCATCTCATGAGTTCTGTGCCGTGGCGCTCAGTGGAGATGCTGCCTGTTTCTGCAGAAGTCTAAACGAAATACTAAACGGGTTTCGAGATGACGGCACATATGGTACAAGTTCAACACTATGTTTTTCATTACAAAAAAGCAATGCTTGTGACACTGTGAATAAATGTCAACATAGAAATTGAATGTTCAAATATTCATTGCACAAATCCTCACTCATGTGAAGAGACTCATATTGTGTTGATCCTATGATCAAACTGAACATTTTTGTTGTTGTTTTAAAGGACCTGATGCCACTTGTGATGATGGCACCGCCTCTGTAAGCCTGATTGGCTGTTTATTGGTGGAAGAGGACGTTAACCTTGATGATCTACATCTGAAAGATGACACCTGCACTGGACAGTCAAATGGAAATATTTTGCTGTTTACATTTGACACACAGAACCCATGTGGTGCAACTTCTACGGTACATACTTTCTTTTGTCTAATATTATACAATAAACAAGTATATTTGTTGAAAACACCAAACGTGCAAAATAAAAGAAGCAGGTTATGCTTTTAATTTGTTAAACTTTAGTTTAAAATGACCATATTGCCTTTGATTCTTCTTTTTAGGTTGCAGGCGATAAAATCCAATTTGATAACGCAATCCAGAACACCATCGACGGCCAGATCACTCGTGAAAACAGTGTGAATATCAAATTTTCATGCTCGTTTGAGAAGGAGTTGGACTCCACCACAGCTTTCAGCTTCCAGATTAAAGACGGGTACATTGTCTCCAAGGGATTTATACATCTTGATTTTAGAGCAGCATTCTGAATACATTATAAAACAGTGTTTTTTTGAGCCAAACAAATAATTAACAAGAGTTTAGGAATAAAGTGGCAAAACATTTTAAAAATCCTCTCTCAGCCCAAAAAGTCAAATAATGACTCACAGGGCTCTTATGTGTGAAAAATTATAATTAAGAAAATGTTCTGCTGTGTGTTCTGTTTAATTTGTTCACAACATTTTACTTTAGTGCATAAATAACATGCACATCGGGTGATATCTCCGGATCTGAGGACAACTAGTTGCCGAAAAGTAGAACAACTGACTGAATCCGGAGATCGACTGTTTATGTCCAGTTGTAAGAGCGCTCACATCGACCGATTTTGGCAACGGATCATCTCCCATCATCTCCTCTCAGTTGCCAAAAGCCGCCTTGCAACTAGTTGTCTCCAGTTACTCTGTCGATGTACACTGGGCTTAAGTTTCTGTCCGCGCGTCCATGGTTCTGTCCACGAGTCCATGGTTCTGTCTGCACGTCTAAGGTTCGCTGAGCTGTTGTTAAAGCGGCTGTCAGTACAACGCAGCCACAGATGCCTCGGGGTCAGAGCGGAGGATGTGAATCTTGTTCAGAAATGGCATAATTCCTTTTCAAAAACGTCTTAATCACTTTCACTTTTCACTCGCCAAAATTCTCCCGCTATCTGTTATATTTGTTGTTTGTGTCCAATTCTTAAATTTCAAAGTACTTAGCTATCTGCTGCCACCTACTGATTTGAAAAAGTATTACGTGGATACTCCACAGTTCAAAGCAAAGCAGCACTCGCCAACGCTGGATGCGTTTATCATTAGACAAAGTAGGCGAATTTCTCACAGCACACCAGACAATATCATACAGCACACTAGTCTGCCCCGTGCCACAGTGGTTGGAAAAACACTGTCATAAACAACTGCTCTGCAGGGCTCACCTGTTCAGTAAAATGGTTTTAAATAATTTAAGAAAACAAGGTATGTTACCCTAAAAACACAACTTTTAAATGATTTTGTAAAATTGAATTGGTCAGGATCCTAAACCTTGTCTGTGTTGCAGCTCTATAACTCAGGAATACACAGCAGGAGACTACACCTTCCCTCTGACCATCTCCGTATACAGTGATGCAGCCATGACCGAACAACTGAGCGCAGACGCTCAACTGGAAATAAACCAGAAGGTGTACGTGAAGCTGGAAGCTACGGATCTGGGTGACAGTGGCCTGGTACTGGTCATTAATAAGTGCTTCACCACAACTGATAATGACCCAGAAGGTGCAAATGTATATAGCCTCATCGACGCCAAGTAAGTGTGTTTATTCAAGTTGTTTTTTGCATAAATAATATTTTCACTTTGTGCAATTTACTTTGCAATGTGAAGATATGAACGTGTTTTATTGTTTCCCTCCTTCACAGCTGTCCATCTCCCACTGACGGAACTGTTGTGATCACTACCTCTGGGACTGACACCTATGCAGCTTATGAATTTAATACCTATGAATACATTGACGTCCCTACGAGTGACTTGTTCTTGCACGCCGTTGTCAGTCTGTGCGTTGAAGCTGACGGCAACTGTGAACCGGTAACCATTTTTGCTTCTTTCCCCAAATCACAAGTCTTCCTGTTGTGTGCAATTTATATACATATGGGTGTGTAGCTTCCACTCATACAAAAATAACTGGGGTAAATAACACATAGGGCTAGTAAAATCTTGTAAATGCAATACTTAACACATAATAAGAAACTGATCAATGGATTCACTAAGCTCAATATATGTTTATTATCTGCATTACTTAAAAACATTTGTTTTGTTTTTTTTCAGGACTGCCAAAGTCCCTGAAAGAGATAACCCGGGTCACATTCTCAACAAAGTAAGGACAATGTAATATATACGATTATGAAATCCTTGGCAATTTATGTTGGCAATTTATGTTGAAGTGCAGCCAAAATAGAAATGAGATACTATGACTTTTGAGCCATTAATATGCACATGTCCTCGTCAGGTTGTGACCATGACAACCCACCGGCTTCAGACCCCTGCAATGGATTTGGACTTTGGAAAACCTGGATTTTGACCCTCCTTACAGTGTAAAAGAATCTGTGTCTGCCTTAAGTTTAGGACCATCTACTGTGACAGCCACGTCAATATGATGCTAACTTAACATCTTAGCACTAGCAGGAACTCCAAGCAGAAACATGTTAGTTCCAATGTAAATTCTTCCCCTGTAGGAGTTTTGTGGCCCTCTGACAAATGCACATATTATCAACTTATTTGACAACATAAAAATAATAACTGTGTTTATCTGGGGCCTAACAAGTTTATTTTCCTATTTTTCTCTTAAATCAGACATATTCATTTGTATAATCAATTTTTAATCAATGTCTAATCTTTTCAAAATCGTGTTATAATATGGGGGGCAACACTTGACAACTTTTCAGACAGGATATCTTCAATTACATATCTTTTAACATTAGCCACAGAGGACTACTACAATAGAACTGAAAAAAATACAAGAATAAGATGAAGTAGAGAAAAAAATAAATGCAGAAAAGAAGTAAAAACTATAATGTTTAGGAATGTTCCTGGATTCAGGAGTTAGGGTAGCAATTCTGCTACTTTGGCGAAAGAAAGATTTCAAGGAGAAATAGAAGGCAGTTTTAAGAGTATACTAGATATTTTTAGTAGAAGTATGTTAAGTGTTACTTAAAATGAATTATGAGGTGGTTGGTTAAAATAACATTGACTTGTGATTACTTGTGATTTACTTTTTTCTTTCTCTGAACTGATCTAAGCATAATAAAAGATTTTAAGCATATATGAATCACTGACCTGTGTATTTTTTCTATATCTTCTAACTAGCAAAGTTCTCGTAATCTATTTTATATAATTGCATGAAGGGGTCTGTCTTTTTCCCCATTGTGCATTGCTCCCACAGTCAAATCCTTCTGCAAGACACAAATGCCTCTTTGTTGTATGTCTCAGATGTTGAGTACATGATTTTATCATAATAAGATACACCAGCATTATCAATTGCCCTGTCTGGGTCAAAAGGGCACCTTGCCTTTTAACAAAACAAATAAAAAGGGAGAGGTTAGAGTTGGGATTAAAATATAACAAGTTCAACTAATTATTTTCAAGTAAATTAATCAAAAAAATAACAATATCACAGAGCTGACTTTTTACATAATACCTTTACAACTCGCTTAGCAAAATAATGGGGGAGTGGCAGGGTGTTTCTAGGGTAACCAAGAGTGGTAAAAAATCTTTATTTACAGACCAGAGTCACAAAGAACTTTACAATTGCTGTGGATATTTGTCCTCTCACTCCAAGGCAAGGCAAGGCAAGAGATGGGAGAGGTGCTCTACAGGTGGCACATGCCAGACCAATTGTACATGTTTTAAGGGGTAGGGGAAACCGGAGCACCCAGAGGAAACCTACGCAGATACTGGGAGAACATGCAAACTCAACACAGAAAGCCACTGTTCGGAGTTGGAATCGACGTTCTTGCAATTTTATGCAATTCAATGCATTCACTAATAGAGAACACAGTGGGGCTAGTGTAGTCAGCTACCAAATGTGCAAGTCCTCAAACTTAAAAAGATGAGAGATACCATCTCTGAGGTAGAATTTGTTATCAAATGATGGTAGAAAATAAGTATTTAGTCAAGTCCATCTCTATCATTTGTTTTAGTCCATTTGTTGGCAACGACAGAGGTGAAACGTTTTCCGTCTTCACAAGGTTTACAAACACTGTTGCTGGTATCTTTGTCAATCCTTCATGCAGACCTCGTCTAGAGCGGTGCTGTTTTAAGAATGTCGCTGGGCAACACTGACTTTCCCCTCCCTTGAAAAATGTTCTTTAGTGTTGCAATCCAGAGACTAGTTACTACCCCAGGGGCTTCAAATGCTTTTTGCAAAACCCCTCCTTTGAGTGTTTGGAATCGTTGTCATGCCAGACCAATATAATACCTATTGCTCTTTACAGATCCAAGCATAATGAAAGATATCTCAACCATATCTGAATCACTGACCAAGAAAAGAATTTAGGTCCAGATTCCTGCTCATGTTTAAGTAATTTCTATTTGGCTTCTTCCAGGAAAAGCGCCATGTGTGATGTCAGTGCTCAGATTGCCCACCCTTTCCACAGTCTATAATTAAAAAAACACGTTGCTCATTCAATAGGCCGTGCTTTCTGAAACCAAAATAAAACAAAGTTAATGCACCAAAAATTTGAATTACAGGTAGATTCTGCTGCACCTTGGGTAATGTGAGGGGCAGCCTGCAGATGGGATCTCCCAGGGGTTTCTTGTTTCCAGAACCTGAACCAGCTCCATCCAGCTCAGCCCTGGGAAGCCTGTACAGCTGGAGAGTTCCCTTATAGTGGCTAGAGCTGCGATTCCCAAACGAGTCGACTTCAATAAGACGTACAGTGAGGTGATTCATGCGCTGGCTGTGAAAGGCAATCCACTCGTCCTGACCGTTATGATATCCTACAGCCAAATGTAGTGATTTAATGACATTCATGTGCTTTAATTTTGTCAAAAGCTTCAGGTTCTTTAACATTGGTCTAAGCGTTTGTCTATAGTGTTCAATCAATAGGAAAAAACTGTACATTTTTCAAAAGGAGCAATAGCTAACTCGCAATACAGCACAGTACTGTATTACATGTACTGTAGATACAGTCTACAGTACATGTGATACAGTAAAGTACTGTAAATACTGTATATACAGTATGGAGTAGAGAGTTGACGCTCCTTATGTCGGAGCTGTGGCTGGACTCTCTGCTTCCCTTATTGTGAGGGTATGATTGATCACATGATCCACCAAAATTGCTCTTAGGTCATCAGAAATATAGTTTAATAATAATATAGTTCTAATATATTTATAGTCTCTTCAACCATGTCCTCCTCCTCTTTCCTTTTCTTCCTCTTCCTCAAGCTCTTCCTGCCTCTTTTCTTGGCTGATGTGTGTTTGATAAGATAAGATAAGATAAGATAAACCTTTATTAGTCTCACAGTGGAGAAATTTGTGTCATCGTTGCACACATTACAGCAGAGAAAGGAAATAAGAGCACTCAGAATGCACACATCAAATAGTCTATTATTTAAGATAATAGACCATAAAATTAAGAGAAGAATAAAATAAAATGAGTAAACATGTGTTTTTAATCACAAAATGTCTTTGGTATTATAATTGTTTTCATTTCTTTCACCTTTATTTAACCAGGAAAGTCCCATTGAGATTAAGAACCTCTTTTTCAAGGGAGTCCTGGACAAAAGTTACATACAGTTACATACATACATATTATAAAACAGTTACATACATGTCATAAAACAGTTACATACAATTTCATACAATTACGGATTATAAAAACAGTCACATGTCAATGAGGACGTCTCAAGTTCTCTCAATCTGGATTTAAAAGAATTCAATGAAATAAATTCAGATAATTTCCAGTCTTTTTGCAACACGTTCCATGTAGAAGGAGCAGCAAATACGAAAGCTTTTTTCCCCAGTTCTGTGCGGGCAAAAGGAACAGAGAGCAACAAAAGATCATTTGATCGCAAACCATATGAACCAACCTCTCTTTGTGTGAGTAAATGGCAGATGTAAGAGGGCAGTAGACCAAGCATAGCCTTATAAATAAAAGTGCACCAGTGTCCAAACCTTCTGCTGGACAAAGAAGGCCATCCCACCCCAGAATATACTTCACAGTGGTGAGTCAAGGCTTTGCAGTTCGTAATGAACCTCAGAGAAGAATGATACAAAGTGTCAATCTGACGGAGACTTTGAGTTGAGGCATTCATATATATCAGGTCTCCATAATCTAAAATAGATAAACATTTTGCAGTAACAAGCCGCTTTTTCACATTAAAAGAAAAACAAAATTTGTTTCTGAAAAAGAAGCCCAATTTAAGTTTGAGCTTCTTTGCAAGATTCTGGATATGGGGTTTGAAAGTGAGGGTGTCATCAAGCACGATACCAAGGTATTTGTACGTATGAACAATTTCTATGACATTTCCCTCTAATGTGGATAACGCAGGAACAGATTGAGGTCCTTTTTTAGTGTTTGAAAACAATCTGCAGAGATTCAGCAGCTTTGGCTGGAGTCATTCCAAAACTGTAAATAATTGTGTCATCAGCATAAAAATGTAAATTAGCATCTGACACATTTTGTCCCATTTCATTTATATACATTATGAACAGGGGGGGTCCTAATATTGAGCCCTGTGGCACCCCCTTGTGGACAGTCACAAAGTCAGAACACTGACATCACATTTTATGCACTGGGTTCTGTCATTCAAATAATTTGTGAACCAGGAGACTACGTGATCTGACAGTCCCAAACAAAGAAGCCTATGCTTTAAAACGGCATGGTCCACCGTGTCAAAAGCTTTTGACAGATCAATAAAAAGTGACGCACAGTACTGTTTTTTGTCAAGAGCAACAAGTATATCATTTATGACTTTTGTAGCCGCAGTGATGGTGGTGTGCTTTTTCCTGAAGTATGATTGTAACTTGGAGAGAAGTTCATTTGAGTATAGAAAATCTTTTAGTTGGTCAGATACAAGGGATTCCATAATTTTTGACAGGACACACAAATGTGATTATGGTCTATAATTCGTTAAAACTGCTGGATTCCGCCTTTTAACAGAGGCATAACAAAAGCTGATTTCCAAACTGATGGTATTTCTTTGTTTTTGATTGAGAGATTGAAAAGTTTGAAGCTGGGCTACAAAATCAGCTGCCATTTTCAAAAAACTAGGGTTCCATCAAATCTGGTCCAGGAGGTTTCCTGTGATCTAATGTTTTGAGAATTTTATGCACCTGCTGCACATCAAACGGAACAAAGTTGAAAGGGTCTCCAGGAAACATTGGAGGGTCAGTGAGGGGTGTCACAGTGGCTGTTCCTGTACTGTTAAACAGAGAACCAGATTATGCAAAATGCTTATTAAAGCAATTTAAGATCTCACTTTTTGCATAGACTGGGGCAGAGTCTGAGGACTTTTACTTACAGATCAAGACTTAATTACTTTCCAAAATTGTTGTGGATTATTGAGGTTCTTGGTTGTGATTGACAGGTAGTATTCTGATTTAGCCCTTTTGATAAGAGAGGTGCATTTATTTCTCAGTTGTCTAAAGACTGACCAATCAGAGGCAGAATCCGTTTTTCTGGCCTTGGCCCATGCTACATTACGCTGATGAATAGTTTTTGATAACTCTGGTGAAAACCAGGGGTTTTCACAACCCTTTACTCTGAATGTTCTTATAGGAGCATGTTTGTTTACAATTTTCTCAAAAGTTTCCTTAAAGAACGTCCAGGCTAGCTCAACCTCTGGCAATAAATATACAGTATTTGTCCCCAAATAACCAGAGACAGGTCGTGGTGAAAGGCTTGTTCATTAAATTGTTTTAAGTTTCTTTTGTAAATAGTGTGTGGTTTGCATTTGGGGATTTTAGTGCTCCTGCAAGTAGCAACAACACAGTGATCACTTAGGTCGTTGCAGAAGACACCCAAAGATGAAAATCTATGAGGAGCATTTGTTAGAATTAAATCATTCAAGGTTGACATATCAGGATTTTCGAGATTGGGCCTTGTGGGTAGGTTAACCAGCTGGCTAAGATTAATAGAGTCACAAAAGGATTTAAAATCATCAGAAACAACATTGAACCAGTCCCAATTCAAATCACCAGCCAATAAGGTTTCATTGTAATTCAATTTAGACAAATGATGCTTTATAACATGTCAAAAAATACAAATCTACAATTAATACAGTACAAGATAATACATAGGACTCATTTCACAGCACAGAAACTCTCAAAATTTACTTCAATCTCGGATACATGCACCAACTGCACACAAAGTACAACAGACACCTACATTCACGCCATATGGTTCTGTTCACCTGTTTTCCTTTTCTGGAGACAGGTGACAGAATCACTCTCTGCCCTCCTGGATTGTCACATCCCACTCTGCCCATCCCTCTGCATACTGGGAGATACAGCATCACTGACACGGCAGCCCATCTGATACTAAAGCTTTACTGATTGCACTAACCATCGCCAAGAAATCCATACTCATTAACTGGAAATCAAAAACTAAAATAAGCATTAACCAATGGAAAAATGTATTGTCTGATTATACGGTAGAGTCACATTCAAACATCTTCAATGAACTGTTTTTCTGACCAACTCCCTCAGGGCCCCTCTCACTCTTACTTTGACCAACAGAACACCCACATACACCTGAACATTGCTGCGGTTGTCACCTACACCATCTCCATTATCATCATCACTAATATTGCTATTACGTTTTTATCATCATGATTGGTCATTACCATACTCTTAACAATTTAATTATTGGCATTATTTTATTACATATCGTTTGAAAGGAAATGATAGCTTCTTCCCCCTACCATCTCCTGTCTTTTAATGCATCACATTAGAGTAGCACTGAAATGTCTTTATAAATACACATAGGGCCGGTCGGACGTGGGGGAGAAACCCACTTCGGGACATTCCCTCATGTCTGCCTTTTAATGCACTGTAGAACACATGTCACACAACAAAGTAGTGAAACTGTAAAAATAATACACTTTAAATAGGGAAGGGGGGACGGTGGAGGGAAGATAGCAGTACACCATGAAATTATGAATTATTGTTACTGTTACTGTTACAGTATAATAGGGATGGTAATAAGTGATTATTATTATTATTAATAAGATTGTTGTTATTATAATTATTTATAATCTCCAATTAAAAACTAAAATAGTTTTTGATCATGAGGATTTATGTGGATTATTATTATTGGTGGCGATGGTGATAATGTGTGGATGACAATAATATTGTATCTGTATTTCAATTACCTTCACACACACACGCACGCACACACACACACACACACACACACACGTACACAAACAATCACAGAATACCTCCCTCAGTTACTACTAATTTCCTTGATTTGTTATTGTCTTATTTGTTGTATATTTTTTGTTTGTTTTGTATTTTGTCAACATCAGTCTTAGGGTTATCTTTCTGACTTTTATGTTGTTATTGTTATTGTATTGTTTGTGTAAATGTTGCAAAATAAAAAAAATAAAAAATAAATATACGCTATATATTCAGCTGCGTTTTTCACAAATTTGCAAAAATAGTTTTGATACAGTACATTAGAAAAATCTCTCTTGAATTGTAGAAGTGAATAAATATAGATTGATTGAATGAATGAATGAATGAATTCATATTTATTATGCAGCGGTGGCTCTCATGAATGAAGCGTCTGCAGTGTCTTGGACGCAGCCTGGCTCGGGGTAGAAGTGCGCATTGAAGCACTGTACACTTCAGAGAGAGTTTGCGGTCCAGATTTCACAAAGAAACTGAAGCCAAAACTTCTGCACATTTGAGGAGTTATGTGGCGCGATATCTCACGGCACTCGCTGCGCACTCTGGACAGGGCAGTGAGACATTTGGAGTGAGCAATACCATCGGTGCGTTATTGGGGTGTGTGTCTGTGTGAGGCTAACACAAATCTAATGAAATAACACATTGCTTTACCAGATGTGAGGAATACAAATAGCCGTGCGTAATTATGCAGTGCAGAGCCTGTCACAGCAACAGCTGGGTCACACATCCCTGTTGCGTAAAGTGTATTTATATACAGTAGAGCCTTTCACAGTTCAGGATCACATTTAAAAAACATATACAGAACAAAATAATACACACACAAGTCAGATTTAATAGAGGGTCCTGATCATGAGCTGTGATTTATTCGAAGTTTGCATTTTTCCATTAGACTTTTTCCGATGCGCAAATTCAACTTTTGAAACATGATGCTCAATGAAAACACAGCTTATAATTTTGCCAGAGGGAATATGTTTATTGTTGTCCAAATCCTGAATTTCATGCGTGTTTTGGCGTGTTGAGCCGAAGGTTGAGATCAGCGTATACGTTTACTCCACCTCCAGAGCTGCCGTATATTTTTTTGCGTATTGTACGCTCACGTCCAGATAGATAAATGCGGAAAAGTGATTCCACCCTGATTTACACCCTGATTTGTCCGTACGCAAGTTTCATACATGAGGCCCTGTGTGTCTCACACAGACAGGCCTGGGGTTTACCTCATCAGTGCGAGGTGAACCTGGCCTGACCGCGCTCTCCTCCTCTGGGACCTACGGGCCCGGGCCTCTGGCTCCTCTACCTCACGAAGTTCACGCTGAACTTTCTTAAAACTAAAATGACTAAAAAGGCTGCTCTGTTGTGAATGTTTTGAGAGCGTTGTCAATCTTTAAGACGAGGAATGGCTGCTTGTTCTCGGGAACGAGCTTCGCGCTGTGTGATATGATCATGCAGATTATTGGACAAAATTATTCAGCCAATAAACAGGACTATATTTGAAGCAACGTGAACGCTCAGGGGGTTACATTTTCTTAAAACATTAGAACGCAACATTTAGGCAATAATGTGTGTATAAAAATAACAATATTTAAATTATGACTTTTAATAAAAAGGCTAATGACTTGAGAGGCGAAGAACAAATTTGAGTAGGCCAAGAAAAAAACTGGTAGGCACCGGCCTACCCGGGCCTATCCTTGGCGCCGCGGCTGCTATGGCCCAGTCCCAATATTCATACTTCCACCCTCGCGCCCCTCATTTGCGCGTTCCCGATGATGGGTGCGAGTGCGTAGGGTGTCCCAATCAATGCATTTAAGTGTAAGTTTTGAAATATATATGCTGTATGTGTGTAAATACGTTTTGCTATGTTACTTGGAAAGCAGCATAAATGTCATTTAACTTAAAAATTACAAATAACCAATATACACTTATTTTAACGTGTGTGGAGCAACTCATTTTGTTTCCCACAGGGTCAGAAAAAATTACCTTTAATTTTTATAAAGTTTAGGTCTGAAAATGACTGTCTCTTGACGAGTCGATGACGTAACCTGCACTCAGTGTGCACTGTCCCAATTCCGCCTTTTTTGTACGCTTGTAACCTGCGCACTCCAACCCTTGTGTGCACTTCAGACAAATGCACACTTCGTAGAGGAGTGTACGGTGCAGTGTGGGTATTGGGATTGAGCCTATGTCCGTCTATGGTCTGCGCCAGTGATATAAACCCATTCAACTCTCACACACGTCCCAGCAGCAGGTTGGAGTATTCTGGCGACATCTAGTGGATTAAAATTAAATTACATGAGTTGATAACCACTGCTGTTGAGATAAATCAGTGGCTTAGGTTCAGGTGTGTAGCTCTACAATTGTCTTAGTGTGTAAACAAGGGTGGAATGAGACTTTCTGGTGTGTAAACCATTGCTTTAAGCAGCAATAACAACTGTCTGGTTTTATTTGTGTGACAAGTGCTGTCAATCACAGCCCAGACCACGCCCAACTCTAAGCCCCCCTCCCTGTCCCTTGGTCCTCCAGGCAACGCCCTTTTTAGAGACGCGGAGGGGGCTGTGGGCGGTGTAAGGCTGGGCACAAGTGTTTAGTCGCTCTTTAAGTAAGGTGAGTGATAACTGGCCGATCCAAGATTCAAGTTAGAAGATGCAAGACGCGGTTTCAAGCACATTTGTATTCAACTGCTGTGAAACATACTGCATTCATAAATCCTCAAAGACCAAACGATAAAGCTTTGCAAAGACGTGACAGGTATATTTTGTAGACCCATGTCCCTCGTAGGCCAGACCCCTGTGGCCTCTGGCTATAGGGAGTGTGTCAGTTAATTGAATAATGACAATTACTGTATACATTCGAAGTAGTATTCAAAAAGGATTGTTTTGACTTGAGTTTGTGATTTTATTTTTCTACAGTAATTTCAAAGTAAATAGGGTCACAAGCCAGGATCCTTTCTCCCTTGAAGTAAAGTAAAACCTTCCTCACTTCATAATGGTTAAATAAATACAAAACTGATGAACAGGTCTGGTTCTCTGGGGGGAAAATGCTTCACTGATCTATTTCAAAAGATGTAGTAGTAAGTAGTATCGAAAGCCTTACAACACTAGGCGTAGTAAGAGCAACAAAGCATCTATCGCAGAGGTGTCCAAACGCTATAGTAATATGGCCACTTTAGTTAAACCTGACTTGGATTTAAAACATTTTGGCTGTTTTTGTCTGTTCTGGGTTTTAAAATGGTGTGCTGAATACCTATTGATTTACATTTAACAGACAGGAAGATTTTTGATCTGAAATATTGCACCACAGCTACATCAGTGCCATATGGGTTTTTTGTGACACATCCCATCAATGTATTTTTAGTAAGAAAGTCAAAAACTGGATTTTAGAGATATAACATGCATCGATTGGTAGAGCTGATGTTGGCTGGACGACGCTATAGAAGGTTGGGTTCATGTCCTCAAAGACTTCTTTGTGTTAGCAAGGCAAAGGGCCACTTAAAATGACACAGCGGGCCACATAAGTCCTGCTGGCCTTAGCTTGGAGGTGCCTGATCTTTTACAGTATAAGCAATAAAATCTAGTGTTTTTGTTGTCTTCAGTCTGACCGGGCAGCTGTGCTACGTCCGAGCGCCCGCTGAAGTCCACCAGTCTCTCTACTGTAAAGGGTCAGAATCCCTCAGTTCCTTCATGGTCACTGGTGCAGAGGAGCTGGTCAGCAAAGTCATCCAACTCGGGGTCCAAGATGGCGCCCGAGTGACTTTCCCCATTGCGGTGGTCATCCCCTTCTTCACCCGCTATCGTGGCAACTGCAGAGTTCATTGTAAAGCTGGTGGATAAAGAGAGGAGAGCAAGCTACATCTGTCCGATAACAACCGAGGGAAACTATGGCGGGCAAAGGGTGAGGCATGAAGGCAATTTTATTTGTTTAGCACAGTGCATATAATGCAGACAGAAATAGTGGGACTGTTTCAATGGCATTATAATCATAGATAATTTTAAAAAGAGTTCAGAAAAAATGTGTTCTATGTGTTTGTAAACATTGTAAAACTGTTTATAACCTGGATTTGAACACTGCAATAGTGTAGGAATATTTATGTATACAAATTTCAAAATACATTTACAAGGGTATACGTTCCAAAAGGAAGGTAAAAAGTATGAGGTAAAAACCTATAATACGTATATAATATATAAGACAATAAAAAATAAAGAATGGATACACTCATTATTTCTCATAAAGATGATCCCGATTGAGAATTTTTCAGGTTGATAATTAGCAAAACCTTACAAAATCTGACGAGGTATTCAAATATGTTTTTTTTTTGTTTACATAGTTCACTTAAGGTGCGACAGTAGCTCCGTTGGTAGAGCATTGGCTTTAGAGCATGAAGGTCGTATGTTCAAGCCCACCACAAGACCTACTTCAATACTCCCACTGACTTCTGCTGCCGTTGTGTACTTCGGCAAGACACATAACCCCACTTTGCCTGAAGCCCCTGCTTAATAATCAAGGCTCCTGTGGACTCACCACCTGCAGGAGGATCAGTGAGGGGCTGGTGCTATGGATATTGGGTGCAGCTCTGACTCTGGATGGAGCTAACTTATTGCACTAGACTCGAGTATACTGTACACAATTTTTTATTTTTTATTTATTGAGAAACAGAGATAGTATTGTTGTTTAAAGTTGTTTTATCTTGTGTTGTGTGCGCCTCATTCCTACTGTTCTGTAATTTATGATGAAACCCTGAAATTTACAGATTGTAACGTAACAGATTTCTTAATCCTAATCTTGATATAATCATAAAAGTGTGTAGGTGCTTGGCGTAAAACTGTAAATTATGGCAAACTTTAAAATGAATGCGGAATCTAAATAGGGACGTCATCTGTAACCACTTTTCCTTTCACAATACAGTATACGGTACATGATCACACACTGAAACTGATTATTGCAAAACGGATATTCTACGAGCGACGATAATTGCAATATTCATTAATTTATGCACATACATGTTCACACATGTTTATACACAAACAGTACATACATGTATTCACGTACCTTTTTCTTTTCTCCCTCCTCTTTTAGTAGCAAATTGACAAAACCATACATTTTATAATCCTTTAGTAGAAAAGAACAGAAAATAAAAAGAATAATTGGGAGAGAAAAATGTTGGTTATTTGTAAACAAACAAAACAGAAACGTTATATCTCTAACTCTCTACTGCTATAAATGTAGCTGAGCGCCACCAGAGCTGCACAAAGCAAAACAAGACGATAAAGTACTGTACTCGAGTATTCCGCTCATGAATACATAAATTTAGTCAAAAATGACTAAATTCAGGATATAACAGAAATCCATGACCAAACACAATGGACAGGCATCAAGAGGAGAGGAGCACTGGGTTTAAATATACACAGAAAGACAATTCAGTGTGGGGACAGGAGATGGAACAGACAGGAAGTAAACTCAACAAAGACAAGAGAACCAACATCCAAATAAAACTGGGCAAAAATAATCAACAAAAAATCCATGCTCCAACGACTTGTGTGTTTTGATGCGTGCAGGGATCCTTCGCCGAGGTGCGGGTCTACTCGCTCGGGCTGTTTGCTGTGGTCTCCTGGTTGAAAAGAGAAAGCTACTGTACTATATTCCCAAAAAGGGTTTAAGTCTCAAACTCTCAATGGATCCAAGAATCAGTCTCACGTACCTCCCAGGCTCCTTCACTGCTTTAATCATGGCACAAGTGATGGTAATTTTACTTTTACATTCAATTTTGATAACTGTTATAACAGTGGCGGTCCATGCATTTCAGACCTGCGCCTGCATTGATGTCCTACGTCTTTGGTGACAAACTCTTGCAGCTCT